CATTCCATTGTATAGATGGCCTACAGTTTGTTTATCCAGTCACCTAGGAAAGGACACCTTGGTAATTTCCACTTTTTAATGATAAACTGCTATGCACACTCATCTGTTGGTTTTTGCTTGAACCTAAGTTTTCATCTCATTTGGGTAAATACCTAGACTAGGATGGCTAGATCAAATGCAAGAGTATGTTTAGTTTTATAAGAAACTGCCAAGGGGGCCACCTGGGTGGGTCAGTGAGTTAAGCGTCTACCTTTGGCTCAGGATGTTATCTCATAGGTCTTGGGATGGAGCCCTGCATTGGCAGGCTCCCTGCTCAGTGGGGAACCTGCTTCTCCTCTCTCTCTGCTCCTCCCCCTATTCATGCTCTCAAATAAAGAAGTAAAACCTTTTAAAAAATAAAAGAGACTGCTAAATTGTTTTTTTAATGGCTGTAAATGTAATTAAAATTTAAACTTTTTTAAGAATGAAAAATAATATTAACAAAAAATAAAATGGCTGTACAATTTTGCATTCCCATCAGTAATGAATGAGCGCTCCCATTGATCCACATCCTTGCCAGTATTTGTTAGGTGTTTTGGATTTTAGCTATTCTGATGGGTATGTAGTGATTGCTCATCATTGTTTTTAATTCCCTAATGACAAAGGATTTTGAGCATCTTTCATAAGCTTATTTGCCATCTGTATTTATATATACATATACATATAGATATATATTTTGGTGAGGTATGTATGTTTAAATCTTTTGCCCATTTTTAATTAGGTTATTTTCCTTCTAATTATTGAGTTTTTTGTTGATTTTTTAGTGTATGCCAACCTTGTATTCCCAGAATAAATCTCACATAGCTCTAATGCATTCTTTTATATACTGCTAGATTTAATACCCTCATATTTGATAATTATATTTTCATCTATGCTCAGATATCATTCTGTAATTTTCCCTTATAATTTGTAAAGTCTTATTTTAGGATCAAAGTTATGTTGCTCTTATAAAATGAATTGTGAAGTATACTCTCTATTTCTGAAATACACAGTAGGAATGAGTACATATGTTCACTAAAAAATATGTACAAGGTTGTTTTTTAAAAGCACTATTCATTCCTATTAGTGGTTTTTAAGATTTTATTTATTTATTCATGAGAGACACAGAAAGAGAGAGGCAGAGACATAGGCAGAGGGAGAAGCAGGCTCCATGCAGGGAGCCAGGAACTCCAGGATCACACCCTGAGCCAAAGGCAGATGCTCAACTGCTGAGCCCCCCAGGCATCCCATATTAGTATTTTTAACTCCTCTTAACTATATTATCTCCTTCCTTCTATTTTATTTGGATTTATTGTTATTCCCTTTCTAACTTATTAATTATATAATTAACTTACTAATTTTTAATCTTTCCTCTTTTATAATATGAAACATAAAGTTTCCTCTTAGATAGTTTTAGCTGCATTCCAAAAGTTTTATATGTAGTATTTTCATCATTATTCACTTTGCTGTATGTATGTCTAATCTTCTTATTTGAGTACATTTTAGACACATTGTTACATTATTATCAGTTATATAACATAGTGATTCAACATCTCTGTACTTTATGCAATGCTCACTACAAGCAGAGCCATCTGTGATCATACAAGGCTGTTACCATAACATTAGCTATAGTCCCAATGCTGTACATTTTATCCCTGTGATTTATTCATTCCATAACTGGAAGCCTGTATCTACCACTCCCCTTTACCCATTTTGCCTGTCCCATCACCCTCTTCCTTCTGGCAGCCATCGATTTTTTCTCCATATCTACAGGTCTGATTCTAACCCAAATTGTTCATTTGTTTTGTTTTTTAGATTCCACATAAAAGTGAAATCACATGGTATTTTTCTCCATCCTCCTTATTTCACTTATCATAATACTCTCCAGATTTAGCCATGTTGTTACAAACAGCAAGATCTCATCATTTTTATGGCTATGTAATATTCCATTGTGTGTATAGATATAGATACATAGATATATGTATATCTCATCTTCTTTATCCATTCATCTACCAGTGAACACTTAAGTTCCTTCCATATCTTGGCTATTGTAAATGTATATAGACATAACATACACACACACAAATAGAATGACAAAAGTGAAACACCGTGGTAAACATCTATAATATCTATAACAAAAATTAAGTGATAGAGTATCTCCCAAAAAACATGGAATACAAACAGGTAAGCAAAAACCACTGACAGCAACAAGACTCATGTACAATTGGCAGTTATGCTGGACACAGCCAAGGGAAGAGAAAGGATGGTTTGGATATTAAATATTTTGACATTGATATTAAATAGCTAGGGACTCTAGAAATAGTCAAGTTTTTGATAGAGCAATTTTCTATTTAAAAAAGTAACCAAGGGCAGCCCAGGTGGCTCAGCGGTTTAGCACCAGCTTCAGCCCCGGACCTGATCCTGGAGACCCCAGTTCGAGTCCCATGTCAGGCTCCCTGCATGGAGCCTGCTTCTCCCTCTGCCTGTGTCTCTATCTCTCTCTCTCTCTGTGTCTCTCATGAATGAATAAATAAAATATTTAAAAATTAATTAATTAATAACATAAAATTAAAAAGTAACCAAAATAGCAAACATATAGAAGGTGCTGAACATCATTAGTTATCTGGGAATTACAAATTTAAAGATTTCATTTATTTGAGAGAGAGAATGAGCAAGAGAGAGAGAGAGAGTACAAGTGGGGGGTGGGCAGAGGGAGTATGAGAGGCAGACTCCCTGCTGAGCAGGAAGCCTGATGTGGGGCTCCATCTGAGGACCTAGGGATTATGACCCGAGCCAAAGGCAGACGTTTAAAGGCTGACGTTTAACCAACTGAGCCACCCAGGCACTTGGGAAATACAAATTTAAACTTGCAGTTAGATAACACTGAACACCCATAAGAAAGGCTACAAATTTAAAAATTGACCATACCAAGAGTTGTTACAGATATGGATAAGGTGTACTCTCAAACGTGGCTGCCTGGAAAAAAAAAAAATACTTGAAAAATGTTGGCAGTATCTACTAATGCTAGTGAATCTCAAACCCCTACCCCAACAGTTCCACTCCTAGGAAAATGATTTCATAGAAGCACCATGAGGTAGGGAGAGAGTATTTTTTTAATTATATGTAATAGCCTCAAACTGGAAGCTATATTATCTCTTGCTGCATAACAAATTACAAAAAAAACTAGTAGTCTAAAAAATAAACACTCACTTCTGTGAGTTAGAAATTTAGGAATGGCTTAACTGGATAGTTCTCGCTCATGGTCTTTCATGAAAATGGGGTAAAGCTGTTGACTGGGGCTTCAATCATCTGAAGGTTCACTGAAGCTGGACGATCTTCTTCCAAGATGACTTGCATATATGGCTTTTGACAGTTCCTCACCACATGCTTCTCTCCTTCCACAGGACCTCTTGAGTGTTCTCCTTACAACATAGTGTCTGACTTCCCCTATATCAACTGATCCTAAAGAGAGCAAAATAGAAACCACAATGTCTTTTATGAATCAGCCTCAGAAGTCACACTCTGTTGTTTCTGCAGTGAAAATATGTCAGCCCTATTCTTTGAGGAGAGGACTAGACAATTTTGTGATTACTAGGAAGTAGGGATCATTTGGGGCCATTTAGGAGGCTGGATACCATACCATATATCCACCAACAATAGAGGTATAGTCATACACTGTCAGCTTTATAGTAATGAAAACAAATGAAGTACAGTTATACATAGCAGCACTGATGAATCTTAAAAATATGAGTGAAAGAGCCAGATAAAAATAATACAGACTGTATAATTGCACTCATAGGAAGTACAAAACAGGCAAAATCAAACTATAGCATTTTGGATTCCATACTTAGGCAATAAAACCATAAAGAATAGGAAAATAAATGCTTACCATAGGGAGGAAGAGAGTCTTAATAGTAGCACATAACTGACTGCTGGAGTGAGTGCTGGGTTCCACTTACATGTTTGTTAACCTTATTATAATCCACTGAGCTGTACATTTATGTTCCATACATGTTACATAGTTTATATGTTTGATGTATTCCCCAATTTGAAGAGCTTTTTAACATTTTACCTTGTGGAGGTTATTTAGGGACTCATTACAAGATAAAATCGGTATTATTGACATGTACTTTTTAAATATTTTAATCTCAATTAATTCCATTTGCAATAATCTTCAATTGTGTGATAATGCATACAAGTGCATTCTATCAATCAGGAATGGCTACAGTACTACTACTGTATTTTCAAAAGCTGTAATATCCCATTTCTCCAGTGAATGTCTTCACATACGTGTTTTATTATGATGATTTTTTTCTTTCCTTTAGGATTAGGAAGATTACCTAGTTGTAAGAATAGTATAAGGATCTGGGGATCCCTGGTTGGCTCAGCGGTTTAGTGCCTGCCTTTGTCCCAGGGCATGATCCTGGAGTCCCGGGATCTGGTTCCGGGATCGAGTCCCGCATCGGGCTCAGCGTCGGGCTCCCGGCGTGGAGCCTGCTTCTCTCTCCTCCTGTGTCTCTGCCTGTCTCTCTTTCTACCTCTCTCATGAATAAATAATTTTTTTAAAAAAGAACAGTATAAGGATCTTACCCTAAACACACACACACACCCATACACACACACCTGGAGAAAGAAACCGCACCCAAATTTTATGAGCAGTTTCAGGACAATGAAACTATGATTTATGTAACTCAGGTTTGGCAAAGTAAGTGTCTGAGCTTGCCGTGATTATTTGACCCTCTGTAATTTTTACAAACTATTTTTTAGTTTGTGGCAATTAAGACCATATTTCACACGGAAATTATTGAAATATTTAATAAAGTGACATATACTAAAAGAGAATGGGCTTTGGGATTATGCTATCCTTTGTATTAACATATATTCTCTCTGCAATTGGTATGGACAATTGAAGTGGTATTTATTTGGGAATTGTGTAAAACTCTTACCAAATATGCGGCCCTTCTGTTACTTTCCTTTCCTAGGTTACATCATAAACCAGGAGCACCAAGGGATTATTTGCTACTACATTCCAAAACAGGAAATCTGCTGGGGAAAGGTGATTGTAGAAATCATACACTTCTAGCATCATGTATAATAGAGGACTGACAGAAGGAGGCATTGAAATTCAAGTATGTAGAATGGGATCCTGACAATGACAAAGGAGAACCTTTAAGTTACTTTTCAAAGGCCCTGTAGTTTGAGACTTTTGACCCTATATTCTATTATTCCATACTATCAAGAAACTGAGGATGGAAAACTGCCTCCTCTTTTATTTTTCAGCCACCTGTTCCTTCTGCTTTCTAGTTTCCCCCTTCCAAGTCTTTTTATCCTTGAGCATAAGCCTGGCAGGAGTTGGGGAATGACTGGGTGGGGAAAAGAGTCACTGGGGATATTACAATAGTAATACCATTTTTTTTTCTGTTTAAGATGTTTAGTATTTTGGAGGAAGCTAAAGCCCTATTCAATCTAGAAGACTACTCTGTCAGCCGGATAACACTGGAGCAAATCTTCCTGACCATTGCTAATATTGATAAAACAGAAAGCATTCAAGAAATAAAACTGCTATGAGATTCAATTCCAACTAGTGATCAGTGTCTTTCTTAGATTGCTGCCTGCACTTAGATACACAGAGGGACTTCTCCTTTTCAACCTCTTATGTGTCTTTATGTGGTGTGTGTGTGCACGTGTGTATACACAGGTTAATCCCCCAAAGAAGAAAATTTGTTAGCTTTAGAGATTAAGTGACCTGTTGTGCAGAGCTGAACTGCGATTTTACCCTAATTGAAGGTTATCAAGTTGGCTTTCCACGGTTTTACAAATACTGTCAGAGGACATTGGGTCTTGGGTCAAAGACACGGGTTTGTTACAGCAACACCAGTATTCAGAGATTATATTTGTGCCAGTTCTTTAATTTCTAATTCTACAAGGCAACACAGTCATGCAGAAATGCAAGAGACCCATGAAGAATTGTCTCCCAAAAACATCTGCCCCTTGTTTCCACACCAGCATGGCTTCTGGCAAATTTCTTCCTGAGTATGCCACCATATCAGCCATTCTGGTTAATCTGAGTTTGGGACCAAATTTAATTTGTCTCATACAATTTTTGATTATGTGTAGACATAAGTAAATAGGCCCAAGAAAAAGTAGAAAACTTAAACTTATTAATAACTACTTTTTAAAAATGATAATGTTAATCAAAACTCATCCCATCTGAAACCAACAAGGGGTAGTAGAAGGGGAGGGGATGGGGTGACTGGGTGATGGGCACTGATGGGGACATTTGATAGGTTGAGCACTGTGTGTTAAATGTTGGCAAATCGAACCCTAATTATTTTTTTAAGATTTATTTATTCATGATAGACACACACAGAGAGAGAGAGAGAGGCAGAGACACAGGCAGAGGGAGAAGCAGGCTCCATGCCGGGAGCCCGACATGGGACTTGATCCCGGGACTCCAGGTTTGCGCCCTGGGCCAAAGGCAGTTGCTAAACCGCTGAACCACCCAGGGATCCCCCTCAAACTCCAATTAAAAAAAAAAAAAAGAAAACACCTCATCCCATCTGACGCTCAAAAAAAAAAAAAAAAAAAAAAAAGCCCAGGTGAGTTTTTTCCCTCCTTTCAAGGAATCTCTGTAAGTTGTTCCTGAAAATACAAAACTGCAAAATTGAATTGGAGGAGGGGCAAGATGGCGGAAGAGCAGGGTCCCCAAGTCACCTGTCCCCAAAAAATTACCTAGATAACCTTCAAACCATCCTGAAAATTTACGAATTCGGCCTGAGATGTAAAGAGAGACCAGCTGGAATGCTACAGTGAGAAGAGTTCGCGCTTCTATCCAGGTAGGAAGACGGGGAAAAAGAAATAAAGGAACAAAAGGCCTCCGAGGGGGAGGGGCCCCGCGAGGAGCCGGGCTGAGGCCGGGGCGAGTGTCCCCAGGACAGGAGAGCCCCGTCCCGTCCCGGAGAAGCAGGAGCTGCACCAACCTTCCCGGCGGAAAGGGGCTCGCAGGGAGTTAGAGCAGGACCCAGGAGGGCGGGGATGCCCTCGGGATCCCTGGGACACTAACAGACACCTGCGCCCTGGGGAGAGTGCGCCGAGATCCCTAAGGGCTGCAGCGCGCACGGCGGGACCCGGAGCAGCTCGGAGGGACTCGGGGGCGACTCCGCGGAGCGGGCTGCGGGGCGGGAGCGCGAATCCAACAGCGCAGGCCCCGGAGCACAGAGCACCAGGACACAGCCCAGGATCCGGCCTCCCCCCGTACAGGCAGAGGCCGGGAGGGCCCATGACAGCAAGGACGCTCCTGCCCCGAACTGAGCAGATCAGCGGCCCCGCCCCAGAGCCTCCAGGCCCAGCGGATAGAGAGCCCCGTAGTTACTGTGGGAGCTGAATCCAGGTTTCCAGAGCTGCCATAGCCACTGGGGCTGTTCCTCCTGGGGCCTCACGGGGTAAACAACCCCCGCTGAGCCCTGCAGCAGGCAGGGGGCAGAGCAGCTCCCCCAAGTGCTAACACCTGAAAATCAACACAACAGGCCCCTCCCCCCAGAAGACCAGCTAGACGGACCAGTTCCAGGGGAAGTCAAGGGACTTAAAGTACACAGAATCAGAAGATACTCCCCCGTGTTTTTTGTTTTTTGTTTTTTTTTCTTTTTGATTTCTGATTGCTTCCCCCACCACCCCTTTTTTTCACCTTTCTTTCTTTTTCTTTCTCGTTTTCTTCTCTTTTTTCCTTTTTTTTTCTTTTTTCTTTTTCTCTTTTCTTTCCTTCTCTCTCTCTCTTTTTCTCCTTTTCCCAATACAACTTGTTTTTGGCCACTCTGCACTGAGCAAAATGACTAGAAGGAAAACCTCACCTCAAAAGAAAGAATCAGAAACAGTCCTCTCTCCCACAGAGTTACAAAATCTGGATTACAATTCAATGTCAGAAAGCCAATTCAGAAGCACTATTACACAGCTACTAGTGGCTCTAGAAAAAAGCATTAAGGACTCACGAGACTTCATGACTGCAGAATTTAGATCCAATCAGGCAGAAATTAAAAATCAATCGAATGAGATGCAATCCAAACTAGAAGTCCTAACGACGAGGGTTAACGAGGTGGAAGAACGAGTGAGTGACATAGAAGACAAGTTAATGGCAAAGAGGGAAACTGAGGAAAAAAGAGACAAACAATTAAAGGATCATGAAGACAGATTAAGGGAAATAAATGACAACCTAAGGAAGAAAAACCTTTGTTTAATTGGGGTTCCCGAGGGCGCCGAAAGGGACAGAGGGCCAGAATATGTATTTGAACAAATCCTAGCTGAAAACTTCCCCAATCTGGGAAGGGAAACAGGCATTCAGATCCAGGAAATAGAGAGATCCCCCCCTAAAATCAATAAAAACCATTCAACACCTCGACATTTAATAGTGAAGCTTGCAAATTCCAAAGATAAAGAGAAGATCCTTAAAGCAGCAAGAGACAAGAAGTCCCTGACTTTATGGGGAGGAATATTAGGGTAACAGCAGACCTCTCCACAGAGACCTGGCAGGCCAGAAAGGGCTGGCAGAATATATTCAGGGTCCTAAATGAGAAGAACATGCAACCAAGAATACTCTATCCAGCAAGGCTCTCATTCAAAATGGAAGGAGAGATAAAGAGCTTCCAAGACAGGCAGGAACTGAAAAAATATGTGACCTCCAAACCAGCTCTACAAGAAATTTTAAGGGGGACTCTTAAAATTCCCCTTTAAGAAGAAGTTCAGTGGAACAATCCACAAAAACAAGGACTGAATAGATATCATGATGACACTAAACTCATATCTTTCAATAGTAACTCTGAATGTGAATGGGCTTAATGACCCCATCAAAAGGCACAGGGTTTCAGACTGGATAAAAAAACAGGACCCATCTATTTGCTGTCTACAAGAGACTCATTTTAGGCAGAAGGACACCTACAAACTGAAAATAAAAGGTTGGAGAACCATTTACCATTCAAATGGTTCTCAAAAGAAAGCAGGGGTAGCCATCCTTATATCAGATAAACTAAAATTTACCCCGAAGACTGTAGTGAGAGATGAAGAGGGACACTATATCATACTTAAAGGATCTATCCAACAAGAGGACTTAACAATCCTCAATATATATGCCCCGAATGTGGGAGCTGCTAAATACTTAAACCAATTATTAACCAAAGTGAAGAAATACTTAGATAATAATACACTTATACTTGGTGACTTCAATGTAGCTCTTTCTACCCTCGATAGGTCTTCTAAGCACAACATCTCCAAAGAAACAAGAACTTTAAATGATACACTGGGCCAGATAGATTTCACAGATATCTACTGAACGTTACATCCAAACTCAACTGAATACACATTCTTCTCAAGTGCACATGGAACTTTCTCCAGAATAGACCACATACTGGGTCACAAATCGGGTCTGAACCGATACCAAAAGATTGGGATCGTCCCCTGCATATTCTCAGACCATAACACCTTGAAATTAGAACTAAATCACAACAAGAAGTTTGGAAGGACATCAAACACGTGGAGGTTAAGGACCATCCTGCTAAAAGATGAAAGGGTCAACCAGGAAATTAAGGAAGATTTAAAAAGATTCATGGAAACTAATGAGAATGAAGATACAACCATTCAAAATCTTTGGGATGCAGCAAAAGCAGTCCTGAGGGGGAAATGCATCCAAATACAAGTATCCATTCAAAAACTGGAAAGAACTCAAATACAAAAGCTAACCTTACACATAAAGGAGCTAGAGAAAAAAACAGGAAATGGACCCTACGCCCAGCAGAAGAAGAGAGTTAATTACAATTCAAGCAACACTCAACGAAATTGAGACCAGAAGAACTGTGGAACAGATCAACAGAACCAGGAGTTGGTTCTTTGAAAAAACTAATAAGATAGATAAACCATTAGCCAGCCTAATTAAAAAGAAGAGAGAGAAGACTCAATTTAATAAAATCATGAATGAGAAAGTAGAGATCACTACCAACACCAAGGAAATACAAACGATTTTAAAAACATATTATGAACAGCTCTACGCCAATAAAATACGGAATCTAGAAGAAATGGACGCATTCCTGGAAAGCCACAAACTACCAAAACTGGAACAGGAAGAAATAGACAACCTGAACAGGCCCATAACCAGGGAGGAAATTGAAGCAGTCATCAAAGCCCTCCCAAGACACAAGAGTCCAGGGCCAGATGGCTTCCCAGGGGAATTCTATCAAACGTTTAAAGAAGAAATCATACCTATTCTACTAAAGCTGTTTGGAAAGATAGAAAGAGATGGAGTACTTCCAAATTCATTCTATGAGGCCAGCATCACCTTAATTCCAAAACCAAAGACCCCACCAAAAAGGAGAATTACAGACCAATATCCCTGATGAATATGGATGCAAAAATTCTCAACAAGATACTAGCCAATAGGATCCAACAACACATTAAGAAAATTATTCACCACGACCAAGTAGGATTTATCCCCAGGACACAAGGCTGATTCAAGACTCGTAAAACAATCAATGTGATTCATCATATCAGCAAGAGAAAAACCAAGAACCACATGATCCTCTCATTAG